TATTATTATTATTATTATTATTATCAGTAGCAGCTAAGAGTTGTCAGATCGTCTTACAGGAAAGATGTTGCCTGTGAGCAGGACCTGGGGATTACTGCTCTACCTTCTAATCAGTAATTTTAGATTTGTTAGTTGCATACTAGAAGGGAGGACGCATGTAACTTAGAGGTAAAATCTTATTTCCAAATAATAGTTTGTATTTTAAGTCCAGAATTTAGCCAGTTAGCTTTTTCAGCTGTAGGAAAGGAGGAAGGTGATTATCACTCTGTTATCACTATGCACAACTGTGCATATAAGATGTCATGTATGGATTCTCCAAGAAGTCACAGAACAGTCCAAGAAATTTGAGCAAATGCTTTTGAAATAACCAAGAATGAATGTTAATATAGTGCCATGACTTCAGGTACTTTATTTTTTTTTCCAAAAATCTACTGTCCATTTTAATTATTATTTTTCTTCTTCCCATCCACCTGCTAAAAGAGAATTATTTCTTGCTGATCAGCCCACTGTCAGGATAGCACCTCCAGTGTTAAAGGAATGTGATGTAGAAAGCACATTTAGTGGACAGCATATATCAAACTATTGTTCTTATGAGCTCTTTAAATAATTACCATCAGACTTAATGAAAGAACAAATATGTTCTCTGGAAAAAAAATTGGAGCATCCTAGTTTTTCATGGATGTGTCCTGTATCTTCTGTCTTCCAGCTAAAGTAAACCCAGTTTCTCCCATGAAAGCTCTTCCAATTCTCTTCCTTTTGTTCATTAATTCCCATTTTATACACTGGGTCTAGCTATTTGTCTCTGTTTCCAGTAGTGCAAAACACATTTTTCCGGGCCTGGCATGAACCTCTGACATGCTGAAAGATCAAACAGGACAGGTATCTTGCATTCAGAGCAGCAGCTTTTCCCTCAGTTGGATGCCTTATTACATAACTTCTGTTGGGAAACTGGGAGAAATTTTCATTTTTGAGACTTGCACTCTGCTATAATCTTTTTTTCTGAAAGTCCTCAAGGCATTCAAAAATTCTTGGAGGAATCTGACACAGATCACATAGAAGTCCTTTCCTTTGGCAATCAGCCTAAACATCTCTGAAGGATATGATTATCTGCATTAAAACAAGCATTACAGAAGTCTTTTAACTTCTTGTTTGGTAAAAAAAACCAGAAGAAAGTTGTGGTTTTGCTGTATATCAGTTTTAACTCTTAGATTATTTTTTTTAAAGCTAATTGACTGAATTTTTTTTTTCTTTTTAATTTCACTTGCCAGACAAGAAAAAATATGATGTAATTGTGATTGATCCACCATGGGAGAACAAGTCTGTTAAAAGGAGTAACAGGTACATGTTGTAGTAAAATCAAACCAACTTTGTCATCCTAACTTATAAAGAGTAATTAACATTTTAATATATTGATGCAATCCAAGACCGATATAACTGTGAGACTGTAGCTTAAAGAGCTTAAAGTAGCAAATATTTTGGCACATGCCTACCTTCAAGTCTATGGAATGCTGGTGTTCTCATTTCAATTTGAGCTGTAGCTTGAGCTTCAGTCAAATGGGTAAAAGAATGATAATGCAGCAGTAAAATGCTTAAGTGCAATAGGAACTTTTTGAGGACTGTAGTTTGTGAAGTCATTAACTTAAATTCATATGGGCTTCCTTCACCCCTGAGTAACATCAGACTTATGCCAGTGGAGCCCTCTTATTATCATGGAATGGTATCCATGTGAAAGAAGGACAGACAGGAACTACAGCCTTGCAACTTTCTAGAATAATGTTTACTGTAGTTTTTGAAACTTGTTATGAAGACATAGTTTGAGGATGCAGAGTCTGATTAGTAGGCTTTACTTTGAAATCCCTACAGAAACCTCTGGAAACTCCGGGATTAACTTACTCAAATGTCTTTCTTGACTATGTAAGGTACTCAGAGGAAAACTGTAGTTATTCACAAAGATAAATTAGCCAGCAAGATCCTCTCTCCCTTACAAAATAAAGGCAAAAGGTGGAGGAGCTATCATTGCTTTTAGTTACCTTGTTAACAGCTGTTTGTTGTTAAGCATTTCACATCTGGGTGAATCTTTTTTCTCTGGACAGTCTAGTCCCGGAGGTATTTTGGATTTTATCCTTGTTTACTGTTTCTCACTGTTGCATTGTACAGTGTCCCAGGGTGCCCACATGGTGGCTGTTGATTTCCAGTAGGCAGTGTGCCAATATTTTTGATGCTGCAGTGTGTAGATTCCACGAATTGCAACTCACTAATACTGTAGAATAGCGTCATGAGAAAAATGGTAGAACAGAATCTAGAAAGAATACTGCATTCACTGATGCAGGATACAAGTAGCTCAGGAAAGTGCAGAACGGTTTTGAACAACCCGGAGAACTTTTACCATGACCTGTAATTTTAAAAAAAACACCAAAAAACTTCTGCAAATAATTGGAGAAATGATTACTCTTCCATGACCTGTTAACTTGCCAGTCAAATTAGTGTTGCCCTTGCACTTGCAAGTGACTCACTTCTCAATTTCATTCAAAGAGAGCTTATTATGAGAAGCAAATAATATTATATTGCCTAAGAAGCTACTTTTCACTAAATATCTTTGTTCTGGCATAAAGATGAGAATATCTAATTACACATGATAGTTCTTAAATTAGATGTGGGCTTTTAGACTTCTTCAGAGTCACGACTCATAATGCTTTATTTGGGGGAATAGTGGAAATACATAAAGATTCTGCTCAGTAAAACTTAAGTACAATCAATAATGATTTTATATCAAATCCGTCAGATTTGGCCACTGGGTGTCAGTCTTGAACTGTTTTTATGACCCGGGTTGTCAGGAGGTAATTGTTGAAACATCTTGTCTGTGTAATTTCTTTATCCATTTGTGTTGCTTTGCAGTTTTTCTTTTTGGTGTGTGCTAACTTGCTTTCTCTCTGTATTGGCATATAGGTACAACCACTTGTCTTCATGGCAAATTAAACAGATTCCTGTGCCAGCACTTGCTGCTCCCAACTGTCTTGTGGTCACATGGGTGACTAATAGACAGAAGCACTTACATTTTGTTAAGGATGAACTTTATCCTCATTGGTCGGTGAAAACACTTGCTGAGTGGCACTGGGTAAAAGTAAGTTCTCAATTAGTTTTGTTGCTTTCTTGGTGACTGAGAAGCCTTGCACTGTGACACTTTATATGCTTATAATTTATATATTTACTACCATGTGCTTCTGTATTTGAAAGGTATGGTATCATCAGTATCTTTCTTTTTATAAAAAAAAAAGTCTTGGGGAAAAATGGATGTTAAAATCTTTCACAGTGTATTTTGAACTCTTTTTGTGTCAGATTACTAGAGCTGGAGAATTTGTATTGCCTTTGGATTCTTTGCACAAAAAACCCTATGAAGTTCTTGTATTGGGAAGAGTTCAAAGAGATGTAAAGGAAGGTTTAAGGTATGTCAAGATATTTATGGTAAATGTAATTTTTGAGGCTGTGTCATGTCTGGTCTGATTCCATTTGAATATATCACTTATTCGTAATACAATATAATGTCCCAAAACCTCTTGGCATCATCTTTTGGCTATTTGTGAACCTAAAGATAGCCTTATTAGCTTTGGGTTAAGGGGGTGCCTTGGTGAGATTAAAGAATGGGAGCCTTTGTCTGTTCCTTATATCTCTCTGTGTTGGGGAAGTGACTTGGACAAAAGCCTTGTGGACAGGGCTTCCTTTGCTGACAGGTGCTCTTCAACCGTGAGTCCTCAGCACAAGCTGATGCCATTTTGGGGATGCTGCTGTTTTCCTGCACATGAAAACATACAGGACTATCTTGTTTGTTCTGAATGGCTTTGTATGGTTATTGTTGACCACATTTTGTCCAAAGCCTCAGTGATTTCATAAACTGTCCTTTTATATATTATGTGTATATAGATATATATATGAGCCAACATTTAACTTCCCTTGGACTTCCTGAAGTTTGACTGTGAATGAACATTCTGTGTGCTAGTTCCCATCTGAATTAGCTCTGTGAGAGCTGCAGCATCACATTGGGTAGCATTCATCCTCATATTTCTTTTCTTGTTCTGATTTTTGTGACAGGAAATCTGAAGATGTAGTTCCAATTCCAGAGCATAAGCTAATTGTCAGCATACCTTGCAGTCTGCATTCACATAAACCTCCTCTTACTGGTATGTGTTGTTTTGTTGTATAATGTTTCTATAGGGCAGTGGACTTGGATGTGTCATTCTAGGATGTACCTGGAAGTGTCTTAATTTCCCATATGCCAAGGGACTTTGCTCAACAGAACTTGTGGTTCCTCAGTATTTCCAGAAATTTCATGAGGAACCTAAGTATCGGTCTCTAAAAATGAACATGAAAAGCAGAACATCAGGCATTGATGTGTGAATATTTTAAGTAGTCATGTTAAAAAAGAGTTGCATTTTTGAAAATTTATCTTCTAAATTACTGCAGGAACTGCTTACAGGTCCTGCACATAGGAAGTTACAAGAAGTAACCTGAAATACCTTGTGGGGAGAGAACTTTGGGAATGTATAAAATAGGCTATCTTCTACTTAGTTAATAAATGCAGAAACCTCCTTATTTTGTCATCCTGAAAGAAATGTTTTCATTTCTACATGAATTGCTTATATGCTTGTAGTACAGTTATGCCTTTAAATCCAAAAACTTAATCATTTTGAGACTGCTAATAATAGGCACAAATAAGGCATGCCCTGCTTGTTTCTGAGGAGCTGTATTCAATTTACTGCAATTGATGCAGTAACTCCAGCCAGCCTGTTAGCATGGGTATAAATCCGACTTTTCAGAGGTTAATCCAAAGAGTTTGAAGATTTCTGTGTGACATGTTGTTATCTTTTGCACACTGGTCTGGAGCACTGACTAATTTGTCAATAGGGAGTTGTACTTCTTTCATCATTATAGCACCTTAGAACCTTCCAATGCTGTGGTAAGAAATGGTTTCATCTTCTCCCAAGGGGAGAGCTCATGATGAATCTGCAGATATTCCAGGTGCACATGGTGCTATGTGCAATCACATCAGAAAAGGCAGGTAGAAGAAATGTTTGATGCTGTTGGAGAGAACAGGTGTCAGTTTGCTTCACTGACATGCTCTCCTTTCTAGGAGGATTTTTTGCCATTCTGAAGTCACATCTTTAAGAACTAGGGCTACAGCAGGAAGTATGTGTGTTGATTAAAGCTAATGGATGGTGATTTGTGAAGCAGCCAGACAGGGCTTCTTCAACAAACCAATACTTAGCAACACACTCGGACATAAATAGGAAACTTGTGATGTATCCAAGGGTGCAAAACAGATCAGTTCGTATGTATTATAGAAAATTCTAGTGCCAGAATGGTCATCGGGATAATTCTTTTGTAAGGCAGAATCTAGAAATGTCCTGGGGAATCCTTCAAAAGCGGTGAAACTGAATCGATTTGGAAAGCAACTGTTTGTGCTAATTTTTGTGTGTATTTCTCTAGTCTTTACTTGAGATGTTGGGATTTGTTCCCATTGTGCAGCATTTACATTTCTATTTGAAAAAATGAATTTGCTGTGGAGCAATATCAGTGCTTTACAAGGTTTTTATAGAAATCCATGTGTATCCTACATTTTTTTTGGCCACTTTATTCAGAACATGGTTGTGGAATGAAAAAGTAAGCCATAAGGCAAGAGCTAATTGCTGATGCTTTGACTTCAGTGCTTTACAAGGCCATCATTTTCTTGACCAGACAGTGTTCTCAAGTGGCCAGTAGAGAGCAGCTGAGCTACGTCCTAGAGGGGTGTTCAGAAGGAATTTTTATAGAAGCAGAGATTTGGCAAAGGGAGAGAAGGACACTTGATGAGTCACATGCATTCTTTATGCTTTGTTTAAGTAGTAACAAAGACAAAAATATTAGTATTTTCTGATGCTGTCTGGCACTTTGTTTCTTATTACTGTAATAAATGTTGTATGTTGGTACATATGTAGCCACTTCATGACTGATTATAAGAGTTCATCTCTCTGGGGGAAGAGAAAGATGTAAATTAAAGCCATCAAGAAGAGATGTTCAGGTTCCTACCGTGCGTTTAACCGTGAAATTGCAACTGTAGGGGTTTTTGGTGATGCATGTGCTGTGTTCAATGCTTAGAGCTTTATTATGTCATTGTAAATGTATTTAAGCTCCTTTATGCAAATGTGTTAAAATCAAATTTTATTACTCCAGGTTTTGATTCAAATAACAGCAGGTTTTCTTCCTAATGCAATTCAGTGTTGCTCTTAGAAGACATTCTGTTACACACATATATGAAATTCTGTATTACTTCACATCACCTTTTTAACTTAACTTTTCCTGTTTTATAAGGTTCTTGTTATAGCCATTTCTCCTTTAGTTTTTAAGTATGTACATTTATTGTCAGGAAATAATATTGTCATGTAGGAGTATGTGAAAAACCACTGCAATTACTTCTTGGCTATGTTCTATCTGCTTTGCATGTCCCCAGCAAGAGAATGCAATGGGAAATCATGGGAACTCCCTGCTCCTGTAGCAACCCTGTCTTGTTGGGCCATATTGCAAAAGTTTTCTTGGAAGTAAAAAGAAGTAAAGCTATCTTTGTGCTGTGTTTCAGATCTTTTTCTGGTCCTACTCCATTCAGGGATTAGACAAATCTGGGCAATAAGGGCCTCTACATTACAAACTCCTTTGAAAGGTTGTTCTAAAATGTGATCCACCCTGTGCTTTGTGCTTTGCATGGCTCATTTTCACCTTGTGTCCGATTTATCAATGCAGAACTTGTTTTTTAGGCAATGGAAGCTCAAAAGATAAGAGAAAACTGTTGCTTGTTTCAGAAATAATTCCTCTCTCATCTTATTTAAACATTTCTAGCAGCATGCACCTTCAATCCGTGTTCAGGGTGAAGAGTAAGCAAGTGTGGCAGACTTCCTATCTGACCTCTAGACTGTGCTTTGGAAGTGGGTTTTCTGGAAGACTGGTGTTGTGTCTACCAGCCAGCTGTGTGCTAGCTTTGTGTGTCCTCGAGCATTAGATGCCCACGTATAAGTGCCTGAGTTGCTGTCATAGTGTTTATGACACCTGAAAGTTCATCTAATTAGACACCACTTATGAGTAGCTGCTTTTATGCCATTTCGGGAATGCATAAAGAAAAATGTTTACTGTTTATTTAAGCTGTTTCTTGTCAGTGGTATCTGTAAATGGATAGAAGTAATTGTGTGGTGGGTTTTGTTTTTCAATCTATATTCCTATGGTAGAAAAACTTAATCTTTCTACTGTAGCTCCTCTAACCTGTTTTCAGAGGAAAAAAACTCCAGTGTTTGCTTAAGGGCTGCAAGTCAGATCTATGTGCGTTATGATAGTCTTCTGGTGATATAAAAGCCTGACAAAGAAGCTGTAATTTGTAACTTGAACACTGACTTTTCCCATTTTAAGGAAACCAATGCAATTGAGATTTTAAGCCAACAAATTGCAGCCCTCTTGATAATGGTAATTTTCATTGCAGTGCAGCTTACTGCCTGATGTGATTATGTAAATGCCTACAACCTAGCTATGAAAAATAATGCTATAATATGATCTTGAATTATAGGTAATGTCTCTGTTTTTAAAAAAACCTCTCTACTTGAAAGAGAGTTTCTCTATCTGGCAGAAAGAGAAGAGGAGATTCCTGGGACTTTTTTTTAAAATCCCATAACCAAATTGATGGAAAGACAAATGCTTCCTGCTTCTGCTGAACTGATCAGGTTTTTGGCTACCTCTTTTTTGCTTTCTGGTGAACCAGTCTTCGAGGCTGGCAGAATCTCCAAAGTGTGCTTTTCAAATCTGTTCTCTTAGGCATGGAAGTTTTTGGTACTTATTAAAATTTTTTTGAGCTTTTGATTACTGGACTTAGTGCTGTGATGATATTTTAAATCTATGCATTTTAAGATCTGCCACCTCTCTGGGCAGCCTGTTCCAGTGTTTCAGCACCCTCATTGTAAACAATTTCTTCCTTGTATCTAGTCTCAATCAGTCTTCCGTTAGTTTAAAACTATTGCCCCTCGTCCTATTGCTTCAGGCCCTGCTATGAAGTTTGTCCCCATATTTCTTATAGACCTCCCCTTAAGTATTGAAAGGCTACAATAAGGTCTCTCTGGAGCTTTCTCCAGGATGAACAACCCCAACTCTCTCAGCTTGTCCTTGTAGGAGAAGTGCTTTAGCCCTCTGATCATGTTGTCAGCAAATTATGCACAAGAAATCCGTATCTAAATGGAGCATGGAAAAAGAACAATAAATGTTACCACTTTGTTTTATTATGGTGGGTTTGCAAAATGACATAAAAGCAGCTACTCATAAGTGGTGTCTAATTAGATGAACTCCCATGGCACCAAACAGTGCAGCAAGTTTTCTGTCAGAATGCACATTTTCCTCTTAGCTTTCCAGACTCTTCTTTGCAAATGTTAGATTAGTTCAAACATTTTATCTTGCCTCTAAAAGAAGCAGGTTTTTGGAATAAGA